TCTTCTGAAGACTATTGGTACCCCTTGGGGCCCAAACCCAATTCCCAACCTTACACTATATAAACCACATCAAAGTTTCATAACTTTCCTATGTGGGACAAGTGTGTGGGAATTTTCCAATAAATCAAATTCGTCACTAGTTCATAGTTTCAAGTGGGTTACTTTGACATTAAATATTTCATTCAATACTAAATGGTTTTCGACAAATAAATATATCATGTTGATCCTCTTGCGGAGTAGAACATGAATATGCTAGGTCCCGTTGAAATTAAGGCACGGGTCCCACTGAAATTTGGACTCAAAGTTGATCCATTTCGCTAGTAGTAAAACCATTTTCCAACAATGAACCCATTTGATCTTGAAGTATCTTTTTTATAATGAATGTTCCATAGTGTTTTTGCTAGAAGTGTAGAATTCCAGCTTCTGATATCCGTTACCCCGAGTCCACCTTCAACCTTTGGTAAGCAAATATTGCTCCATGCAACCAATGGTTTGTTGGATCTCCAAAGAAAGTTACGGCAAAGTGTGATGATTCTAGAGGTAACCGTGGCCGAAATGGGGAATATAGATAGCCAAAAACATTCGACCCCTTGAAGCACCGCTCTCACTAGCTCCGTTCTACCCGCATAAGATAAAGAAGCCTCAGATCAAGAACCAATATAAGCTGTGATTTTGTTTATGAGAACATCATAAGAGCTGATTTTTGGTTTTGCTGCCGCTAGGGGAATACCCAAAGCGAAAAGGCAAAGATCCTTTGGGTATGCTAACAATCTCATGAATTTCCTCCATATCTTGGCCATAGACCCCCGCTAAGTACAAGTTCGACTTGTCAACATTCATTCTTAGACCCGACATGTTGCCAAAATATGCAGATTCTTATGATTTGTTTGGTAAGTTAGATTATATAGTACTAAACAATATATTAAGTAAGAAAAAGAAGCTAAAACATTTTAATCATACTGTCTAGTTATGTCCAGTACTGCATATCAAACATGCTTTAAACGTATTTATCTTTCCTGCACAGATAACACAAGTAGTGTTTTTTGAGGGGACTTGACATAGCATGTTATCGCCAATAATAAAACATTTAGTTCCACTGCACCATTTGCATTCGACATTCCCATTTGAATTGCAAGAGGAACAAACGGCAGGCCTTGGTTGCTCTGCCATAATCTTTGTAGGCGTACATGTATACTTGTTTTCTTCTTGGTGCATATTATTGTATTGATTGTTCTTAATTGATCATGTTCACATTCTTAGAACTCTTCGGACGTGGATTGATTACTTTGTTTCATTCGAGTGTTTACAAGGCTTATTAGGATTTGTTTTCTTGTAAAAGGAGATGAAATTTAATCAAGAAATTTATCTTACTAATATACATAGAATGTGACACGATCTTGTTTTCGTACAAACTACAATAAAAAAAATGCGCTACTAACGAATTAAGGTGGATTATAATATCTTTGGTCACACTTCAAACATTGCTTGGTGTTTGACAACTCAAATTATCATCCCAGTTGCCTCACTTGCGAAGGATATACTAGGAAACTTACATTATCAAAGTCGAAAACGAGAAGCTGGATGAAATTATGAGAAAGGTAAAAAGCACTATTACTAAAAAAGGATATTGTATTCTTTGTAACTCTAGTTGCTCTGACGTACTCAAATGTCACGATCTCAATAAATTGGTGTTTGTCACCCTAATATCGTTATCGATGAGTGACTAAGGCGGTAAACAATGTCTCAAGTGGAGTGAGTTTAAAAACTTTTTACGAGCTCTGTGTAAAATTCAAGACCAACTAGATTTCTACCCCTATTTGTAAATGTAATATAATAATTCAAAATCAATGTAAATCGTTGCCAGCCTTTTTTTTTTTCGAAGGGTAAATGTTTACAATTTATTAGAAGCAAAACGATTAATTTCTCTTTCTAACTATGGAATCGAAACATGTTTGGGTGGTTTATAATCTCGTCTAATATACTTATAAGCACAAATAACTAACATTGAAGGTTTGGCTTAAAAAATAGTTGTCATTCAAAACTAGACTCATAGCTTATGGCTAAAATTTTACCACCTTTTATCATCAATATTTTCTATTTTAACAACAATGAAACCCAAAAAAAAAGCAGTTATATCCACAACCAAACACCCCCTAACACAAACTTTGTATACTAAAGTAGAATTAGATCTGTACACACTCGTCAAAAGCCCCACGCAGAAACCTGCTATCATTGCCTGCCGGATCGTAAATTCACCCAATCATATATTCCAACACACTCACGAACACGCTGAACGTGTGAAATTTTGCATAATTACAGTAATGGACAAGGGAAAAGCTATAATGGGCTCGGGCCGCAGATGGGCTGTGGAATTTACAGACAATTCCACCTCCAATTCCTCTCGCGACATCCTGGATCCCCCTGGCTTCACCCGTGCTTCTCACGACCCGGTAGTTGTGTTTGTTTTTCTGGGTTTTTTTCAATATACATGATTTTTGATTGAGGAGTTGATTTGAGTTGATTGATTCTTATATGTAGGATGATTCGTCTGTGAGTAAACAGAAGAAGGATGCTGAAGCAAATTGGAAAGCCCAGGTAATTTTTCTTGTAATTTAGTTTCAGATATATTTTTTCCGAATTTGTTAGAAGGATTTTGCAAGGAGTATACGTTATATATTTTAAATTTTGAATTGATTCCAATGAAAAATTGAATTCTTGATCTATTAAGAGGCTGAGGGGTTGTAGTAATTGAACTTGTATCTACTACCTGATTTTTATAGAAGTTTTGGCTGAACTAAACTGAAGATCTTAAGTTTTGAATTATCAATGGATCGTAGAGTAATTATTCATTTTTTCTTCATATTTTCTTGATTCTCTGGGCGAATTTTAATGTGAATATTTGGCTTGAACTCATTATTTGCCAGTCATACTCTTTTATGTGCTTTTAGTGAATTAATTATACCTTGCAAAAAAATTAAAATATTTTTTATTCAATTAGTTAACATTTCTAGATTTTCTGTTGAATTATTAGCCTACTTATAAATTTAGTCACTTTTCAATTTTCTCTTTGTAATCTGACTCAAAATGACAACCTTATGACAAGATGATCTCCATGCTTCTTGTGCTTATAAGTTCAATAAAAAGCACAATTGTTAAAGAATACTTTATGTTCTGAATAATTCATGAGGAAAGCTCTTTTCCCCTACTTTTTGATAACTATCAGATGCAGTGTAGTATCATTTGTCCAAGCTCAACTGTTGTAGGAAGAGTTCAAATAATGGTAAGGTGCAGTTTCATTTGTTTTATCGGTGAATATGAAGAACAGAGTTTTTAATGCCTCGATTACATTTTTTGTGTTTTTCTGATGATGAGAAGGGCCTGCTATTAGCTTTTGTACGGTTTTCTTTTAATTTTGTTTTAGGGGTTAAGATTTGGCCAATGTCACATTAAATTATCTCTATTAAGAACTAGAGATTTTATTTAGGTCTTTGCTACATTTGTACGTTCGAAGTTTGTCTTTGGACATTTTGATCTCTATCTGGTTACTAATATATTTATTTTACATGAATAGAAAGCATGGGATGTCGCACAAGCACCTTTTAAGAACTTGTGTATGATGGGCTTCATGATGTGGATGTCCGGAAGCACGGTTCATCTCTTTAGCATTGGTATCACATTTTCAGCTCTTTGGCAACCCATAAATGCTCTTCGAGGGGTTGGGAAAGGTGAGAGTTATTTTTACGCCATATTGTTTAGTTACAGACACCTTTTCAATTAGTGCTTGGCTATTTTCACTTCACTTCGATAATTCTTGATCAATTATAGACTCATGTTGAGAGAAGTTTTATTAGTTCTCAATTGATAGTTGACATCTACCTTGTCGTAGAAAAGCACAATTTAAAAGTATAGCTCAAGTTCTTAAAAGTTTTATTTTTAAGTTTGTAGCTACTAGATCGATAGGGGTATGGAATTTCAAGTGTATATTTCTTGTGGGGTTTCGTTACCTATGTTGCATTGCTATATACTTACAATACTTTAACCGTCATGGTGTGGCTTCTAATGTTTATGTTTCTACAGTGATTAAACTATGCTAACTATCATCACTTTGATTGACAGCTTTTGAGCCTTATAAGGACAATAGAGTGGATCTCCTAGCGCCTAAATTAGTATTTATTGCCCTTAATTTGGTTGGTTTAGGAATGGGCATCTGGAAGGTTGGTTCCATTCTAACATTGTGCAAGTAATTGTGAAGTTTAGCATAGAATTGCTCTAAAGCTAACCAAATTTTGTCTGTTGTTGGCAGCTTAATACGTTGGGTCTTCTTCCAACACACGTATCGGATTGGGTTTCGTCTTTGCCTCCTGCTCAGGTTCGATTTCTTATTTCATTTATTGCTCTAGATCTGTAACTTTTTATGTTTTTTATTTATCTGAAGAAGATGTAGAACATAGATTTGGTAAGCCAAAATTTTATGTGAACATATAAAATTTGGGGCAGTAATTATGAGATCAAAATCATCAAATGTTAATACACCATAACCCTATGAGGGCAGAGAGTTAACAATCGTTGAAAAGAATTGAGTAATAATATGATCACTAACTTAGCCCCTGTTTGGTATTTGTTTAATTTATATACACTTTTGGTCAAACCTACTATTTATATTTTAAAAGGTTTATAATCACCTACCAAACAAGCTTTTATGCTCAATGCCAAGAATAAAAAAATATCTTTACAATTTTTGGTTCTAATCTGACCATGAAGATATCCATATATCCTTTTTTTCGAGGAAACTGTCATCTATTTTGATTAAATTTTGGTAACCAAAGTTTGTTCTTAGAATTATATGCAACTTGAGAGCTTCTATGCAAGTGGACCGGTGAGGCTTTGCTAAATTGTGAATGTTAAGTAATCCTAGGACAGTTGAAGCTCAGAGGCTTCGCTTAATGTATAGGAGACACCATTTTGACAAGGATTTAAAGTTTGTTAATGGTTTCTCGAGTTAAAATTGTTGCAAATACCTCTGAGATAGCTCCTTATGTGGTAAGATTGAGTTTTAATGGTTGGTCGTGGATGTGAGTTCTTGAAAAACCAACCAGCTTCCAAATGTTATTGCTGCCTCATACTTCCCGTGGGAGAGATATCGGGGTGTATGGGGCAGCAGTTCATGTAATAAAAAATAGCCACTTATCAACTTGATTGATGACTAAAAGCAATCCATTGAGTGGGCAACAAATGTATAAAGTTCTCTTTATCTTCTATTTTTGATAATCACTAGCGTGCCTTTAGCTTATGTTTGCTGATGTTTTACAATATTTCAGCCATAATAATGTTTATCTTTTGATGGGTGCTCTTTTTGGCTTTTGCTGTATCTATTAATGGTTTGGAAATGAATGAAATTGCATATTTTGGTATGGCTAGAAGTTGCAAAAAACTTTAACTCCATATTTCATATAAGTAAAATTTGCAGCCGTGGACCCCATATTACGTTGTACACTCGGGTCTCCAACTTTTATCTTTGGCATATGGATACCCAGTTTTTATTATTGTAGTGATATGGTCATGTTGATGGTTTTGATCTAAATAGATGTTCAGTTTTGTAATTGAAACCCGCATTCACTTAATTCGTTTCTTGTTTTTAGGAGGTTGAGTATTCTGGTGGAGGTATTCCTCTTTACTAAGTTCCTTCCAGAGAATCGAGTTTCGAGCAACCTACTCAATGAAATGAGACTTTGAATTCGGATAAATGTCACTTACTCCTTCTTGTTATTTTTTTCATTTAACAAACTCGAGCGTTTCTTCTGGCCAATACTCTAGCTGTTAAGTGGCCAAAACGTGTATGATCATATATTACTTGAAATGTAGTTGGATTATGGTACATTGTCAAATTTAAATAGGGAGTACGAGATTATAAGTTTATGAATATTCTAGTCCCAAGCTGTTACAAGGATCGCAATTACAATTGGAAGATAAAATAGAATTTAAAAGGATCGCAATTTACACTTTGTTATATATATCTTATGAAAATTAATTTTTGGATTGTTTCAGTCAAAAATTTCCAATTGTGGTTAAGTTTTTGGCCTAAGAAATAAATCAAATTGCTAAATTGAAGCAAATACAGAGTGATTAGAAAATGATCAACTTGTATATTAAGAAATTCTTGATTCTACACCATCATTTAGCATGTTACTCAACTGCATCATGACATGAATTTTGAGCCATGAAGTGGATAATAGGATACAATTGACTCCGAGCACTCTCAAATCTTCATCGTAAGATTCAACACAGCTTTTAAGTATTTACATTTTAATCCTCGAACTTTGGATCCCTTACAATTTAGCCATTTCTCCAAATTTGTCAACTTTTGCTTATTTTCTTCAATCTCACCAACTTACATCACAACATCAAAATCACACATTTAATTATTTATCAATTACATAAATATTACATCATNTTTCGAGCAACCTACTCAATGAAATGAGACTTTGAATTCGGATAAATGTCACTTACTCCTTCTTGTTATTTTTTTCATTTAACAAACTCGAGCGTTTCTTCTGGCCAATACTCTAGCTGTTAAGTGGCCAAAACGTGTATGATCATATATTACTTGAAATGTAGTTGGATTATGGTACATTGTCAAATTTAAATAGGGAGTACGAGATTATAAGTTTATGAATATTCTAGTCCCAAGCTGTTACAAGGATCGCAATTACAATTGGAAGATAAAATAGAATTTAAAAGGATCGCAATTTACACTTTGTTATATATATCTTATGAAAATTAATTTTTGGATTGTTTCAGTCAAAAATTTCCAATTGTGGTTAAGTTTTTGGCCTAAGAAATAAATCAAATTGCTAAATTGAAGCAAATACAGAGTGATTAGAAAATGATCAACTTGTATATTAAGAAATTCTTGATTCTACACCATCATTTAGCATGTTACTCAACTGCATCATGACATGAATTTTGAGCCATGAAGTGGATAATAGGATACAATTGACTCCGAGCACTCTCAAATCTTCATCGTAAGATTCAACACAGCTTTTAAGTATTTACATTTTAATCCTCGAACTTTGGATCCCTTACAATTTAGCCATTTCTTCAAATTTGTCAACTTTTGCTTATTTTCTTCAATCTCACCAACCTATATCACAACATCAAAATCACACATCTAATTATTTATCAATTACATAAACATTACATCATTAATTATTTAGATGGTGTCTGTTTATGCTTTTCAGCAGAAATCAAGCCGTTGACAATGCAATTCATGCAGTTGGGAGCCATAATTTTGGACTAATTCTCTCACCGTAGAGCTGTAGGTTTAAAAAAAAACGATAACATAATCAATTTTCCTTCCTCCTTCCAGCGCACCCAGACACGCCCTTAATTAACCAAAAAAATTACATCTTTATTGATAATAAATTAATTCTTAAACAAAACTATTAAATATAAACAAAGCAAACGTGCATTGCACGTTGCTTACACCTAGTATATACATACATGTATATAATGTAGTAAGAGAATATACAAAAAATTGAATTACCATTTTGCTGTTATGTATTTATAAAAATTATACACATATAAAGTTTTTGATGAAAAAATAGATCTTATTTGCACATAAAGAGATAGTGATACAATAATCTAAAAGTGTTTGTATAAAATTATTAATAACATTTTAGGAGATGTAGTATTGAGTCCTACAAAATGTGTGATACCTAAATTGATAGTAATTGTGAATGTGTGGTTAAAATTAATATTTGATTGAATAGAAAATATAATTTTTTAATAACTTTTACTTCTATACGAACAGATGCTATAATTTTCCTCACCCGAAAAACTTGAACCTTCATAGTTCAATATATATTATCTTTGTAGTAGTGTGATATTTCCTCATTGCGCTGCTGAAAATATATATAGATACAGTAATGTATAGGTTGGCCGTTGCAAATAAGTAATCTATTTCCAGTTTTGACAAACAAAAAGAAAGAATTTACTAATTTACTTATAAGTATTGCGTTCAGCTGCCAAGGTCATCTGTCATATGCTTCAAGCACCCAATTTTCTCTTCNCCGTATGAACTAAGTATAGCTCCTCCAACTAACACCGTCAAATTCGCCATCGATACATTTCCTCCTTCCCTCCACACACCCTCGTATATACACCCCGGCCTTTGTCCCCATTTTCATCTCTCTCTCTCTCTCTCTCTCTCTCTCTCTATACACACACACACACACACACACACTTTTAAGTGTGTACAATCAAATCATCAGAATACAAGCAACATAAATTCTCGTCATTTTGCTTTCTGCTTATCCTCCTCTAGAATTCTCTATGATTTGTCAAATTTCTTCTTCTTCTTTCTGAATTGTCTACAATTTATAGTGGTATCAGAGCAGTGAGGCTTCCCTGCAATGGCGGCGAATTCTAGCATTCAAGCGGAGGTTTGAAATCAATCTGTTCAAGAAAACTCATCTAACGATTCATCAGCAGGAGATGTAGCTTCTCTTGTTAGTCAATTGGTGAGCTATCCAAGCAGTCTCAATTGCCTACATTATGGTGATAATACAGGAATGTAGCTCATTTCAGTCACACTTGTTGAGGAAAATTATGAGATGTGGAGTCGCGCAGCAACTATTGCAATCAATGTTAAAAACAAAGAAGGATTTGTAGATGGATTTATAGCCAAACCTCCTCAACATGATCATCTTTACCGTGCATAGAGAATGCGTAATCATGTAGTTTCTTCGTGGATCATCAATTCAATTCCCAAATAGCTATACCCCAGTGTAATGCATAAAAACTCTGCACGAGAAATTTGGAATGAACTTCGAGATCTCTACAATCAAAGCAATGGCCCTCGTGTCTATGAATTGAAGAAGCAGATTGCCACGATTTCACATGGTAATAGTTCAGTGAACTCTTATTTTAATCAGTTCAAAAGACTTTGGGAAGAATTGGACAATTACAGGCCAGAAATCAATAATATTGATTACAAGTGTGAATATCAGGTTATGCAATTCCTTATGGGTTAGATGAACATTTCTCTGGTGTTAAGAGTCAGATCTTGATAATGGATCCATTGCATTTGCTAAATAAAGTCTTTGCACTAATTTTGCAAGACGAGAGACTAAAGGAGATTGTGAATAATAAACAACAAAACTTTGAAGCTTCTGCTTTTGCTAGCAAAGTTTTGCAGAAATCCGTTAGCAATTAGAAGAATATCTCACCTTAGAGAAGAGAAAGGCATGCGAGCAGTTATTGTGGTATGTTAGGGCACCTTAAGAGCAAATGCTACAGGTTGATAGGATATCCTCATAGTCACAGAATTAGTAAAAGCAATACTCCAGTTGTTAATGCGGTAGAGCAGACATCTCATAATGATAATTTAGAAATAATAAGCCCTCTTTCCCAAATTACCATAACTCCAAACTGGTGTCAAAATTTTTTTTCTCTATTAGTACCACAATTGCAAGGACAACTTTCACGCTCTAATCAACCACCTACAAAGCAGTTTCAAGATGTGTCCTCCAACTCTCTTTCAGTTTTGATGTTTTTGCCTTCTTAGGTACTCGTACATTTTCACATGATTCTCTAAACACTGCCAAATGGATCATAGATACAGGGGCTTCAAAACACATGGTTTGTTCTATCACACATTTAACTACTGTGACTGCTTCCATTCATGCTTTTGTGAGGCTGCCAAATGGCAACGGTGCTGCAGTTACTCATGTTGGCACAATGAAGTTATCCACTACATTAGTTTTATCTAATGTGCTTGTTGTACCATGTTTTAAGTTCAACCTGATTTCTGCAAGCAAATTAACACTTAGACATAATTGCTGCCTGATATTCATATATTGTTCATGCTCTATTCAGGATATTTCGACATGAAAGACGATTAAGGTAGGCAATCTTGAGATTGGGCTATATCATCTTCAACAATTTGACAACCAACTCAATGATCAAACTTCTCATCAAATCACATCAAGTTTAACTATGAACTCTGCCTTTCCTACTTCTGTTGTTTCTTCTAAAAGCAAATCTTTTCATTTGCACTGTAATAAAGCAAATTATATTGCTTGTAGCTCTATGAGCAATACTGATATCATAACTAAAATTGATGTTTGACATTGTAGTTTAGGGCATGTTCTCATTTCCCAACTACTACTTCTACATAAATCTATTTCCACAATTGCTGCCAACAAACATTTGCATTGTACCATTTGCCCTTTGGCTAAACAACACATGTTACCTTTCCAAATCAGTGAAACAAAGGCCTCCAAAATGTTTGATCTCATCATTTCGACATTTGGGGACAGTATTCCATTCCTTCTTAAGATGGTTCTAAGTATTTTTAACTATCATTGATGATTATAATCGAATGACCTGAACTTATCTCATGAGGAATAAATCACAAACCAGATCCATCATTCAGTCCTATTTCTGTCTTATCTAAATTCATTTTCAATGCAACATTAAAATCCTTAGATCTGATAACGGTGCAAAATTTCATATGGATGAATTTTATTCCTCTAAAGATTTCATATGGATGAATTTCTATTTTGGATGCCCATTGGGAGTTGAAAATTGGTATTGGATTTGAAGAAGAGTTCGGAATGGAGAAAAATACTTTTTGGAATAAATTGGAGGATTTTCACCGCGATGTTATGTTATTAAC